AAGGTAAGTTTTCCGCAGCTCAATCCTGTCAAATTTTGTGAGATGAACATATGGAGCATGGGTTGGGTAGGGAGGTGGGTAGGAACAGTCTGAGCAGCAAGCTAACAGCCATTTAGAGGTGAGCAAGGATGCTCTGGAGACGCTGTGTAGAGAAAGGGCTCCTTCTCCTATGCATCATGGTAAAAGCAGCTACATAGCAGGCACAGGACTAGGAGGCACAGAGATGAATCTGGGAGGCAGAGAGAGCACCTGGCCTTGCTACTCAACTTACGACCTGCTCCTCCCTCCAGCAGGAGAGGAAAATTCACCTGAGCATCTTCTGGGCCCTGGCTACAGCAGGAGGGACCTGGGCTAGACGTTCAGAGCACCTACCTAGTGGTAGATAGGACGGAGGCGGAAGAGCCTAGTGGGAGGCCAAGGACGGATGTGTGAGCCTGTGAGTCCAGGCTGGATCCTCAGCCTCTCACTGGTAGATGTATCACTCATCTGCCCAGGGGTAGAGATGGGGCAGGGGGAGGAGATGAAAAACACCCACAGCCCATTAACCTACTTTTGCAACTTCATTAAAACAGAGTCTCCGACATGTCGCCATAAATTGCCTTCTGAGGAAGAAGCCAGATCCAACATGAGTGTGAGCAGCTCAGCCCTGAGGAAGAGGCGGTAAAACCCCACACTGGAAGAGGAACTGTGCGGTGTGGGGTTGGATGGGAGCAGCCGCCCAGGGGCTCTGCAGGCCAGGCCACGAGAGTGGCTGGCTCAGAATGAGGGGCAGAGAACTTTGGAGTTTTTCTTCTGGAGAACAAGTCTCACTATGTAACATGGGCCAGCCTCAAACTTGTAGTCCTCCTGCCTAAGACCCCAAGTGCTGGGACTGGAGATGTGTGCTCTCACACTTGACTGAAGAGCAAGCTTTCGTTCCTTCAGTTCTTAGAGTTGAACCTCATGCCTCATTGATGCTAGTGAACTGTTGTAGTATCTGAGCTACATTCCCCAGCCCGGGAAAGAGATCTTATATAGCATTATATACATGGTGTTCTGACCAAGAACCCTCAGAGCTTCCTGGAGTCCCCCTTTACGAGGCTACAAGCTCCTTTCAACCTTCCAAGACCTCCTCCCAGCAGCTGTGTTCTAGAGCTGGGGGTGGTGGCTCATGCTTGTAGTCCCAGCACTCAAGAAGCTGAAGCAGGAGAATTTCTAGCTTAAGACCAGGCTGGACTACACAGCAAGGCCCTGTCTCAAATAAGAAATCAAACTTAAAAAAAAGGAATCCCCATAGCCGGGCATTGGTGGCACACACCTTTAATCCCAGCACTTGGGAGGCAGAGGCAGGCGGATCTCTGTGAGTTTGAGGCCAGCCTGGTCTACAGAGCGAGTTCCAGGGCAGCCTCCAAAATAATACAGAGAAACCCTGTCTTAAAAAAAAAAGGAATCCCCATGCTGCTCCGAGGCTTTTTCTCAAATATATGCTATAGAGCACTCTGTCCCCAGCCTGAGCTCTGCAGACCCTAGTGGGCTCCAGAAAGCTAGAGGCCTGCAGTGTCCTGGCTGAGCAGGTGGCTGAACCAGGTAAAAGGAACACTGTCCCAAAGGCAGCAGGGCTAGGTTCCTGACTGGTTAGGAGACCTGGATCCCCTCCTTGTATGACAGTGATGGAGAGCCAAGCCCTGGCTGCCAGGGTTCCGATCCTACCTCTGCCACTTACAGGCTTCTGTTACTTAGCTTCTCCGTGCCTTAGTTTCCTTGTAGAAATAATTCTATGTCATCATGTGGTTGAATGTTAAATAAGACGACCTGTGGAAAATGCACAGCACTTAGGACCCAGTACACCACGGGGGTCAAATACTTCCTCCATGTGCTCAATTTCCTAGGCTTTCCTCCACCTCTGAAGGTCACGGAACACCAGCTCCACCTCTTACACATGAGGACACTAAGGCCCACAGAGAAGAGACTTGGGTCACAACCCGAATCCAGATTTCCTTTTACCCAAAACCTTTCCCCAAGGCATGTTCCTGTTCTTAGTTGAACAATGAAGAATTTACCTGGGGTACTGCTGGGTTTCCAGTCACTGTGACAATGCCTGAGGAACAGCTTAAAGGACCATGCCTCTGCTCAAAGTTTCAGACCTTTTAGCTATGGCTGGGGCAATGCTGTGTCCAGTGGGATGGTGTAGGGGCGGAACTGGTCACCTTACCGCAGCCAGGAAACAGAGAGAAAGGCACCCCCACCTCTCTGCGGTGCCCCAACGAGCTCCCTCCATCCAAGCCCCACCTCCTGGCTTTTCCACCACTTCCTAAAAGAGCATCCCAAGCTGGGGACCAATTTGTTTCACATGCAAGCCTGTGGGGCACACTTCATATTAAAGCCGTAACAAGCAGACCGTGGTGTCCTCTGTCATGACTGTTCTATCAGGATGATCACTTTAGATCCTCTGTGCAAAAAGACCTCCCTGGAAATAGAAAGAAAAGAAAACCTCACTCTGAATCCCACAGCAAAGGTGGCTCCAGGAGCTGGGCAATGTAGCCCAATTGCTAAAGTACTTGCCTAGGATGCATGAAGCCCTGGGTTCAGTCCCCACCACCATATAAGCTAGGTGTGGTGGCACATGCCTACGCTCCCAGTACTCAGGAAGTGGAGGAAGGAGAATCAGAAATTCCAGGTCATCCTTGGCTACATATCAAAGTCCAAGATAGCCTGGGCTGCATGAAACCCTGTCACAAAAAATAAACAAGTGAAAAAAAATGGTTTGACTGTCTGAAGAAAACAATGCAGAGCCAAAAGAGCAAGACGGCCTGGAGCGTAAGCTGCGGGTCCTCTGCCCTCCTCCCCAGGGGCCTGTCAGAAAAACCCTGCGGTATCACAGACCCCAGGCTTCGACCGTGGCAGTGTGGTCTCGGGATTCCCACTGCCCATCCTCCAGGAGGGGAACCCAGAAGGACATGGGCTCTCCAGGATTGCCTCGGGATAGAAAAAAGGCCCCAGAAAGCAGAGTTCCTGGGGTAGGTTTGTTGAGCTTGTCTACTCTGACAGGCAGTGGAATGCCGGGAAGCAGAGCTGACAACCCCTGGGAAGAGCTGTGTCAGGTTCTGCCGGTCCAGGTGTTGCACTCTGACACGCCTCTCAGGCCTCAGCCTGTACTCCACCCGCTACAGCCCAAGACAACAGGCCATAAAACAGACTTCGCTTTCAATTTTCTTTGAAGGGGCAATTTAGCACAGGCTGTTTACAAGCTGTTGGGAGTCAAGAGCCTCTCTCAGAGTGGATCCTTGTAGTCAGATTTCACATGCAACTGTTTAGGAGGAAGAGGCTTTGGAATAAGCATGGGATTTGCTGAGAGTGGCGCATACGTGTATTTTTATGTTATATGAAGGGTGGCTGGGAAAATGAGAGCCACGAGGAGCAGATGACTGGATCTTCCTCCCCCTGGTCTCCTGTAAGCAAAGATGAGTCCCCTCATAAAATAAGAAACGTGTGTTCACTGGTCAGTGGTGGCAGCACACACCTTTAATCCCAGCAGAGGCAGGTAGTCTCTGTGAGTTCAAAGTCAGCCTAGGCTACAGACTGAATTCCAGGACAGCCAGGACTACACAGTGAAACCCTGACTCGGGGAGAAAGAGAGGGAAAGAGAGAGAAATGAAATGTGTGTGTGTGACTCAGTTCCAGCCCTCTGGGGCCCTCACGCCTACTCAAGATGAGATACTCTGATATTCACATTCAGAGCCAAATGTCACTCACAGAGTTCTGGCATTTTCCTTTTTGGGATCTCGCCAGCTCTCACTAAGAGCAATTTCAGCCCCCAGCAACCACAGACCCTCCTATGGCCTCGACTTCACCCCCTGTGTTCCCCTTCCTAACTTCTTCAAAGGTGAGTTTTATTAGGCTGCTCTGAGGAGGGAACCACCGCCCCTCAGCCCCTCATTTTCCTCCTGTGGGTTTTCCCATGGCCTTTCCCCTCTTCTCTCTAGAGCAGGACTCTGAGAGGCAGCTCCTCCTGGGTCAGGTTATATCCAAGATCCTTAGGGAACACAGGAGAGTGGGGCACGTGATGCCCAGGACTCTGGGGCACCTTGAGCATGTACTAACTGCCCTTTAGCTCCCCACAAGGAACATCCCCTGTCCATAAGATCATAAGTTTGGGGGTACTCTCTGGAGTTTCCGCCCAGTCTTCTCCCAGGAGTGATGTGGGAAAATGAGGGCCAGCCAGAAGCGGAAACACAGGATAGGGGTCTCCGTTCACTTGGGAGCCCTCCCCCTTACTCACACTTTGGAAGAATTTTTCCTGAGTCTTAGAATCCCAGCCTGTGTTCTCTCAGGAAAGGGTGATAAAGCAACGGGGGCCTGTTCTCAGGCTGAGAGGGGCCACAGAGGTCAGGGTCAGGGATGGAAGGCGGGATATCTTGGCCGTGGGCCAAGAGGCAGGAATATGGGAACCCTGGGTGATGGGAAATTTTGGTCCCGAGGTAGGAGCAGTAGCAGAGGAAACCTAGCCAGGAGCGCCCACTGGAAACTTGCCCAGCTTCTGCAGCCCAGGCCTTCCCCTGGGGACCCTGAGAAGGCCTGATTCCAACCACCAGGATGGTTCTAGGGGAGGTAAATGTGGGTTCTCCCCAGCAGTCATCAAGGGGAAGAGAAATAGAGCAGAGTCCAAAAGTGGGGAACGAGAGCGAGGGAACCAGACACAGCTTCTCAAATCCTGGGTCCTTGTTTGATTGTTCATGTGCTTGTTTGTTGAGACAGAGGCTACTACATAGTCTTGGCTGTCCTGGAACTCACTGTATAGACCAGGCTGACCTCAAACTCAGAGAGCCACCTGCCTCTGCTTCCCAAGGACTGGAATTAAAGATATGTGCCACCAAGCCTGTCTTAGCTCCCACCTTCTTAACCATTTCCAAACTCCAAAAGCAGCCAGTAACACTAATGGCATTTTTATTATAAATAAACCGAAAGTATAAGCAATAAAAGTGACCCGCTATGGTGTGGATGTCTCTAGCTTGCACACTCACCTGCTTTCTCCGGATCAGAACTCTTCCCATTCAGTTTCATTGTTGCCTATGGATTACCACCCAGTCTCCCTTCCCTGTAGGAAGTGGCTGTCTGTGCATCAGTCTGCAGCTGAGCCCGGCTCCAGTCTTACCGCTATAGACACACAAAATCTCAGAAGAGGGAGGACCAAGCCCGTCGTGGCACACCTGCAAAACTGAGAGGAGAAACTGCTTGCTCAGGGTCACATAGCTGGAGGAGCCAGAACAGGGACTTGAACTATTTCATCCGGATGCTATCCTCCACTCCAGGCTCTCGGTCTTTTACACACACAGATGCCAGGCTCCATGTGAATTAATAGAGGCCCCACCCCTGAGGTTCACCAAGGAAAGGAGACCTTCCACATCAACCTGCAGAAAGATTTACCCTCCAAATGCAAAGCACCAATGCCTATGGGAGAAGTTACTTTAAGCAAGGACAGTCAAAAAGACCTCTGAGAGCTGAAGATGTAGCTCAGTCAGTAAAGTTTTTGTCTATGATGTGAGAAGCCATAAACCAATGATGGACACATGCAATCCTGATGCTTGGGAAATAAAAGCAGAAGAACAGCAGTTTAAGGTTAACTTAAGTCACAATTAAATTCAAGGCCAGCCTGCGTTACATCCAAAGAACAAACTTCCTGAGCCAAGTGTAGTGACACGTTCTATAATCCCAGGGCTCAAGAGGGAGGGAAGTGGCAAGACCACACCTCAAAAAATAGAAATGGAGAGAGCCAGGCATGGTGGTGCACACCTATAATCCCAGCACTTGAGAGGCATAGGCAGAGGCAGGTGGATCTCATGAGTTTGAAGCCAGCATGGTCTACCAAATGAGTTCCAGGACAGCCAGGGTTACATAGTGAGACTCTGCTTCAAATAAATAAATTAAATTAAATTAATCAAGCAAAAAACAAGTTGGAGTGGGGCTAGAGGGGTGGCTAAGCAGTTAAGAGCACTCGGCTCTTCTTCTACAGGACCCAGACTCCATTCCCAGCCACCACATGGCAACTTAACAACCATTTGTAGTTCCAGTTTCAGAGGATCCTGTGCCCTCTTCTGGTCACTGTAGGTACTACATGGTACACAGACAAAACACCCACACTGAAAATAAAAAGAAATATTTTTTTAAGGTGGAGGTAGCCTGAGAAATGACACCAATAGTTGTCCTTTCCCTTGTCCCCATGCCTCCTGGAGGAGATGAGCACAATTCATCAGCTACTGAGTGACACAGTGTGCCTCTGGCAGCTTTGGCCACTCGATCAGGGGCAATGCAAATATAAATAACAGGAGTCTTCATTGGAGGTTTATGAGATAAGGCTGGAGGCAAGTTGGGACTAGATCAGAGAATGCTGTGAATTCCTACTGGAAGTCTTAACTGCTCTCCATCAGTACTGGGGGGTTACAGAAGGTTTCCATCTGGAGTGAAAGGAATCTCATGCAAAAGGCCTAGAGAATTTGCCCTGGAAGCAGCTCACAGGACAGACTGCCAGTGAGGAAACTTGAAGCAACAAGAATGTTGGTGGGGTTCTGTCTCTGGAGGTGAGCGTGTGCTGTCACAGACACATGCATACATTAGCCTGGTGCTCAGTCTGGGAAACTGCCTCAGCCTGCTGTGGTCGGGAGATGATAGATCATCACCTCCCTTCCCCGTTCTCTCCTCACCCTCCTAACCACCTGGCTGGGCAAGAATGCAGCCACCTCCCCCAGGCATGAGTGTATGTGTGTGTCCAGGTTCTCACTCCTGCTCTAATTCCAGTCTATTTCTGTAGATACTTCCTCACGTGCGCACGCATGCACCACACACACACACACACACACACACACACACACACACACACGTGCAGAGCTAGAAACAAGACTGAGCATGCCTCTACTGGGCAATGCTTCCAAATCTAATGCCACTAGTGTCAGGCCATGGGATGGGGACTAACCATCCTGCAGCCATATGAGCTCCAAAGGGTAGTGAAGTCAGGTGCTTGGTGCAGGGGGAGGGACACTGCTGATAAGGGCAAGCCAACTGATGAGGACCCATGGAAACTTTGAGGTAGGGACACAACTGAAGACCAACACTCCAGAAAGATGTAAGTAGAGCTGGGGAACTTTCCAGAGGAGGAATGGGGGGCACTAGGGAACCCCCTGCCCTTTCCCTCCTGCTCACTAGAGTCCAGGAGACCTGCTGGCATGGTTTGAATCTGCAGTGTCCCTCACAGACTCATGTATAAATGCTTGTCGCTCAGCTAAGGATGTTATTTTGGGAGGCTTTGGGACCTTTAGAATACGAGCCTTGCCAGGGATGCCAAGATGGCTCAGTTGGTGAAGTGTTTGCCACACACATGTGAGGACTTAAGTTCAATCCCCGGAGCCCAAGTAAAAGTCAAGTGTGGTGCACACTTGTCACCTCAACAATGGGGACACGGAGAAAGAAGGATGCCTATGGCTTACTGGCCAGCTGACCTAGGCTAATCAGCAAGCTCTGACCGATGAGATCCTGTCTCAAAAAACAAGGTGGAGAGCTCCTGTGAAGTAATGCGTGAGGGTGGCCTCTGGCCTCCACATGCAAATACACTCATGTGCACATGCGCAAGCAGATATGCACCTGCACACACGTGAGTATAAATGCACACACAGAAAGTGGACCTAGCTGGCTGAAGTAGGTGACCGGGGGCAGATCTGGTTTCTCTTCGCTTCCTAGTCTGCTGTGACCTGAACGACCTCAGCCAAGGGCTCCCACCACTGTGAACTAGCATGATTCAGTACGCTTTCCTCGCCACGAGGGATTGAAACCATGAGCCAAAGTGAATCTTTCTTCCTTTCAGCTGGTTGTTAGGTACTGCCAGACAGCTGTTTTCTTTTGTCCTTTTGGGGGGCCCTGGATGCCAAGGTACTTAGGCCATGCCTTACCCTTCCTCCATCACCCAAGGCCCCCAAAGATAGGTGACTGCAAATAGTGAGCCCTGGTAGGATTCAGTTTACAGTGGTTAGCATTTATCATGGCTAACTTATCAGAGCCTCTGCCACCCAGAGAACAGACACAGGCTGAGTGCCTGGTGCTGCCCGACAGCCCTGGGCTCACCCTTCTTGACACCTGGGGCCTCACAGGAGCTCAGAAGCGAGCCTTGCAAAGGTTCCCTCTCCTCCGTTTCTTTTTTTTTTTCTTTTTCTTTCTTTTTTTTTTTGTTTTGTTTTGTTTTTGTTTTTCGAGACAGGGTTTCTCTGTATTGTTTTGGAGGCTATCGGTCCAGCCCGGCCTCGAACTCACAGAGATCCGCCTGCCTCTGCCTCCTGAGGGCTGGGATTAAAGGCGTGTGCCACCACCACCGGGCTCTCCTCCGTTTCTGTAGGCTTGCTGCTCAAGTTCTGGACACTGGGGAGTTGTTGAATATGTGCTTCAGACCCTTGAGACCTGGTGCCCCTGGGGAGGGGTCAGCAGGAACTTTGTCATCTTTTCAATCCTGAGGTCTTTCCTCCCTCCCCAAGCCAACCCAGACCAGAGTCCCCTGCACCAACATGACACCCTTCCTCACCTGCCAGTCGGTGTCACCCACTCCTCACCTCCAAGCAATGACCCCAGCCTTTCCCTCATGCCCTCCTGCTTTAACTCCAGAATACTTCTGCAGCTGAGGCCTGCAGGCGACCCACTGGGGAAGAAAAGGAGACCCACCTCCTCAGAAGTGTCCCCCAGCTTCTAGTCCCTCGCTTCCATCTTTTGTTCAAATGTATCTTACCCCTGGCTACCGGGCATTTCTCTGTGACACTTGTCCTTGATCTTGCCCTTTGTGGGTAGAACACGGAGGAAAGGCCACTTATTTAAAGTCCTGTGCTGGTATAACAGGTCACTGGCACTGTGGCTTTGACGAGCTTTCATGCTACCAGCCTTCCAGAAGCGCTCTCCTCACCTCACACCCCTGACCATTGCTCCTGTAACCCCATCACCAGGAGCACTGGAGGAACACCTGCCTCAGCTCAGGATGGCAGCCCCGGCCCCAGAGGGAAAGCTGCCTCACACTGCCCAGCCCCCAACCCTCGTTCTAGAAGGAGGTAATTAGGAGCTGTGCAGTCCTTGTCCCCCAACAGGTACAGCTAAGCAGCAGCATCCATCATCAAGGGCAGCTGCCAGAGATGGGGAGGGTCACATGACCGGGCAGGGCCAATAGGAGGGTGAGGGGAAGCCTCTGAGCTAGGGATTGGCTGGGGTGAAGCAGGAGAGTTGAGGGCTGTTGGGGATAACCCGAGAATGACCTTGTAGGGACTTTGGTGCCCCTGGCTATGCCCTGTCTCCCCAGACATCCTTCCATCTTCCTTCAGCCCCCATCTGAGATCCACCTCCCAGCTGTAGCATTTTCTCCTGCCTTCCACATCACTGATTCAGGTCCAAGGGCTCCTCTTTCTCTTTTAAGAGGACAATGGCCTCTTGTGTGCTCTCACCTAGTCTGAATGAGAAGGAGGCAGCTTTCTGGCTTGACTCGGTAGGTGCTGATGCCTCCATGACGGAGAAAGGAAAGCAGAGAGCACTGCATGGAGGAAACGCCAAAGCAGGTGGAACCCCCAACTGCTCGTGTGCATGCCAGGCCGTGCCAGGCCGTGCCAGCCAGTGTGTGCTGGCAGCTGTGCTATGATATGGGTGCAGCGCAAGACGTGTTTTGAATGCATGCGCTGATGGGACACATTACCTAATGTGCCGCAGTGCACAAGGCAGAGTTGGACACAATAACCTTGTACTTCATTTCTGTGAGTGTGCACAGGCTCACGGTCGCATGCCCCTGTGTGCCCTCCTAACACAATAGGTTTTTCACCTTGACTGTTTCTGACCCAGGTAAGGGAACCCCTGCTACTCACTTGCCTTGGTAAACCCCTTGGCACATCTCCAAACCCGATGAGGAACCCCCTCCTCAGCCCCGGAGCCACAGGTCAAAGTGGCAGCTGGCTGGAGAGAAGAAAGGGAGAAGAGGAGGGGGATTTCTTCAACACCTGTGAAGGGTCTTCATTACATATGCAAATGTCCTCATTAGCAATGCAGAGTACCTCCTGAGCTAATGGTTGCCGTGTTTCTGTGGAGAAGTGCTGAGCAGGGGCTGTGGGCAGGAGAAGAGGTGTGCCGGGGCTCTCCATCCCCAAGGCTGATCCTGTGCAGGCTTCAGGAGGGGGCTGGAGAGGGGCCTGTAGCAGGGACCAAGGGCAGCTGCGGGCAGGCACCCAGAAGGCCTCTACAGCTGCAAGTCTTGCATGGGGTATTTGGCTATGTTTGGGTAGACCAGATCGAGTACAGCACTGCTCCCTTCAGGACCAGGACCAGCAGGAGGGATGCCAAGTG